CGGTTGAGCTATAGGCGCCGAGCCACAACCTATTATTTTTAAGGATCTCTGTTTCTGTTTTACAGAAGACACAAAGAGGTCATACAATTCACCTAAGGTCATAGAGCAAGTTTCTTAAGATCACAGATAAAGGAAGAGTTATGAGACCCAGGAGAGGCTACCACATGGTTGGGATCTTAATCCCTTTCTAGTCTAAGAAAGGCAAATTAGGTAGCATGTGCATAGATTTTATTTTAATTCTGATCTTCACACTCCATGGTGTGACTAGATGTGAAGAATAAGATATGATTCCTTTTGCCACTCCTAAAAGGGAAACCTTTCAATAATTCTCCCCATTTGTAGGAATGACCAAGGGAAAGCTGGACCCAATGCCTCTCTAACACCGTCTCTGTTGAAAAATACAAATCCTGAGCAGTGTATAAGAGAAACCAGAACATAAGTCCATGCTAGAATTCAAGTGTCCTTTCCTACTAAACCTGAGATTACTACGTATGACTGAGACCAGAGAATACCAGGGTGTGGTATTTATGACCAGACACTGCCCTGGAGAATGTCCATTCACCCATGCCCTGTGCAATTCTCAGAATCATGAATGTGTACTGAGAATTGCACGGTTCACAGGTGAATGGGCATTCTCCAGAGTAGTTTGTACAGTCTCTGGTACCGGGGCTGTGTTCTTCACAAGTACCCCATTTTAAAATATCTCTGGTGGGTGGCACCTGTGGCTCAGGGAGCAGGGTGCTGGCCCATATGCAGAGAGTGGCAGGTTCAAGTCTGGCCCTAGCCAAACTGCAACAAAAAAATTACAATAAAACAAAACAAAACAAAATAAAATGTCTCAAGAAGGTGTGTTCAGGAGGAGTTATAGAAATAGGTAAGAAATGCAAGGTGGGGACAAAGGGGCTTTTCCTGAACTAAGCTGCCTTTCTTTGGCTTTGGAGTATCTGAGTTTTAGTTTCTTGGCAAGCTTGCTTGGTACACTGCTCATGGCAGGCATGGCCATACAGGTGTGCTATGGGTTTCAGGCCAAAGAAAGGGCACCTCCCTCCCCCAGAAGCCACTCCAGAGGGAGGAGAAACCACTGGCAACAATTTAGGGCACTGGATCTAAGCAATGGTGAAATCCCTTCCCCAGTACCCTCTTCCCTGCCAGGACATGTGTATTATGGGGAGTAGCAATGACTTGGGGTTTAAGTGGCAAGGGAAGGGGGAATTCTTTGCAGATGGGGAAAGGGAAAGAAAACAGAGCCAACTTTCCCATCCTAGTCTGCGCCCAAACTACAAACAGATACATTCTTCTACACTGGAGAATAATAATCTCTTTATCCAGCTAGTCTGGAACCTGATAATTGATTTCAGGCCTTGGGTGGAAAGCTGGGAAAGTGTGGGTAGCTGGAAAATGGGATGGGGCACTGGGGAAGGGGGTGGAGCCAACAAAGGCAGGGTGGGAATAAGTAGGATGGCTCAACAAAGCTAAAGAGGCTAAAGACTTCAGACACCAAAGGCAGATTTTCTGCCACCAATACTGATCTGAAACATGCAGGGTGGCTTCCCCAGAGGAGCCTTGGAAGAGACAGGTTGCAGGAGTGTGCAGGGACCAGACTAGGTCCCAGCTCTACTGTTAGCTGTAAGGCCCTGGGCAGCAAGTGCTCCGTCTCTGAAGTCCAACCTGGCTCTGAACAGTCCTTCCTTCCTGCTCTGATGGTCACTCCATTCACATGCACACTTAATGAGCACCATTTGTTCTGGGCTGACAGGTGAGGGTAGGGCAGAAGAATCCCTTCTATAAAGAGCCAAATATCTTAGGGTTTACAGGCCACATGGACTTTGTCACAACTACTCAGCTCTGCCACTGGTAGTACAGAAGCAACTGTAGATTATACATACAAAATAAGCATTGCTGTGCTTCAGTACAGCTATTTATGAACACTGAAATTTGAATTTCATATAAATTTGTGTCATAAAATATTCTTCCTCTGAGTTCTTTCAAACATTTGAAAATATAAATGGCTCTAACTTGAACACCACACAACAGAAGACAACAGGTAGGCCCAAACCCACGGGCCACAGTTTACCAACTTCTGCTCTAGAGACACAATGATGAACAAGAAGTCTCTGAGCTCTGTGGTTCTGTAACTACCGCTTCTACAGGCCTGCTCTGGTTTTGGATCGGCCCTATGATTCTACATCCTGCTTCACACTGATGTAGCCTAGTCATCAGCATCTTTTTTTTTTATTTCAATATATTAAGGTGGTACAAATGTTCTTGTCACACATATGCCTTTTATAATGCTTAGGTCAGGGCTTTTAGTCTGCCCATCCACCCAAACAGTGTTCACTGTACCCAATGGGCAGGATGTTACCCTGCCAGCTTCTTAGCTTCCAATAACCTTTAGATCTCTTTGTGCCCACGTGTGCCCATCAATTAGCTCCCAATTACGGAGAAAGTACGCTCGGTGTTTGTCTTTCCATTGCTAAGATATTTTGGATAATGGTCTCCAGTTCCATAGCCTGGTCTTCTTTTCCAAATGGCCACACCATGGGGTCCCAAACATCATGGCCCCCAGGGTTATGCCAGGGACTCCTCATGGCTAGAGAAGAAAGGTATGGGTCATGTGTCAAAAGGGGAAGGAAGAAGAGGCAGCAGGAGGAAATCTGTATGTGAGTGGTAGGGAAAGCTGTGATGGAACAAAAAAAATCGGTTAATTGTTTCTCCTGACAATTAAAAAGAAAAATGTGGCTCGGCGCCTGTGGCTCAAGCAGCTAAGGC